ATGGTAATTATATATTATATATTTTCTGTTTCGGAAATGTTTAGGATCCTGTCGGTTGAACATTTCTCATGTATCGGGCCCGTTTTACTTGGCTGTTGTCCACCTTGCTACTCACTTATTGGGTGGATATTTGTTCATTAAAATATATATTATATTTTTGCTCGATTAATATATCATATTTATAGGGAACAAATAATGAATTGTTAAGTCACTAGCTATACAACTCCATATGATGTTATCATTCATTGATCAACTCGAATGAACCAACATGAATTCATGTTAATCAAAATTCTCCGATTTCAATCTCCATCAATCCATTATCACTATAATATATATAAACTTAGGATCAAAGTTTACATAATACATACACTTGAATAATAATAAATGTGAATTTCCTTCGTCACAAAAAAAAAAAAAAAAATCTAATAACTATCAAAAAACCATTCAAAAAGAAGGCTTCTTGAGAGGCCTTTTGTCTAACATTGATTTTACAACTAGTCTTTTCCTCCTTTATAACATATATTCTACCTTTCTAAGCCCTTTTAAATATTGTGGAGAGGAAAAGAGAGGGGAATTGAACCAAGCGATGCCGTGTATGGGGTTCTCCGGCTTCTTCAAGGTAGAATATTATAAAGGAAGAAAATTAAAGACTAGTTGTAAAATCAATGTGGGACAAAAAGAATCTCAAAAAAATTTCTTTTTGAATGGTTTTCCAACAATAACAAGTTTAGAAGATTGTTGGGTATACATTGTACTTACTACCCATATTTTTACTGTGATGTTTTGATTGGTCATTAGTTATTGAGATTATATATTTTTTTCTATACAATTAATAGAACTCATGTAATAAGTATAATATTTTCACAAAATATCACGAGTAATTAATAACTACAAGTTAAAGGGACGATAATATTGGTTTTATGGTTAAAAGAAGGTTCAATAATAAGCTTGTGGCATACATATTCTCATTTTACTCTTATTTTTTAATGTCTTGGACTCTTGATTAATCATATTTACTTAGATAATATATTTTTTATTCAAAAAAATAAAATAAAATTATACGCAATCAATTCAAATAACGAGAGTAACACTCTCTAAACAATCATGACTCATGACTTGTAAAAATTTATTATTACCACTATAACTTTATTTTCTGTGGTTTCAATTTTTTGTATGGAAGAACATTTTGCTTCCCATTCATGGAAACTTCTGTGGCCCCCACAATAATCTTGTATTCCATTTTTGTCACGTTCATGGGCATTTCCCCAATAATTTAGCCGTAATTTGTACACTACAGATATGGGCAACTGCAGGAATATTTGCACACAAGTATTGAATTTTCAAACTTCAACTTATTTATTTTTTGAATAATTTTGCACAAAAGTTCTCCTGCATGTGAGCTACCTATTGGTCTTCTCAGTATGAGTCAATTGATCAGTTATAAGCAACTTAGACTGTTTTATACCATTGTGATCTTTTGCCGGCTTGGGTCACAAGACAAGCTTCACTTAGAGCTCATATTCGGATAATAATTGCACACTTTCTCGTAAATCAAAGATATGGATCCGGACGATTAGGGGCAACCTTAGCCGAGTTGGTCAAACTGTTGGCTTAGTAACGACCACAATGTTCTACGTTCGAATTTTAATGAGAGCGGCTTATTAACATTCTTGGTTTGAGTCAGTAAGCTAGCTACGAACACCCTAAACTAGTTTACCTTATTGTGATTCTTTACCAGTTAAGGTCACAAAGTAAATTCTTTCAATGTACATTCTCGATAGTAACGGCAGATTTCCGTCTAAAAACTTTAAAAAAAAGATATGGGCAACTGCAGGAATATTTGCACAAAAGTTTTGAATTTTCAAACTTTTTATTTATTTATTGAATAGTTTATCACTTTAATTATATTATCCCTAGAAGCTAGAAGACTGCGACAGTACAACACGCCAAGCTATCATGTACAATACCCCCAGACCAGTGACAAATATTGGCTTTGAGTTTCAACACATGTTCCCCCAATTGAGACTTGTAAAAGTCTATGTTACAAAATATGGAGGAACAATTATACAATATTAAATAATATTTAATATATAATTATCAATATTATCTATTGCCATCCAATCTGCCCATGAATGTTGTGTACCAAACATTGTACCTAGTTCCCTATTAATATTGCATGAATGTGGTCATGTTGACAATATTTTACTTTCTATGATAGTAATATGTAAGATGATGATAGCTACAATGAATCTTTACTGTAACATTGATGAATTCATACTAATTAAGTTCTAGACGAAAGCTACATGCATGTAATTTGTAAGTAATAACATGTGTGTAATATAAGGTGGTTGATTGATTGGCATGTTCAAATGGCATGGTTAAATGAATGTGTGCTAAATGACGAGTGCTTACTTTTGAATTCTTTGAGTATTAAATGAATGTGTATAAGATTTCAGCAAGTAAAAAAAAGGGGGGAAATGAATAATAGTTTTGTTGAACGAAGGTTTGAAGGGTCGAGTTCAATATCATGCATGTTATCGAAACGTGACATTATTCATAGGTGTACGTGAATGAGATGACACGAGTTTCTTCCAATTTAACCAGATATCTTGGCTGGATTATTCAAGCCTTAGAGACTAGAGTAGTGCTTTGCCATCCTTACCCTTGGAGGACAAAAAAATATATTAGGGCATGCAATAATGATGGTATGTAAATATATATTAGGTTGATATATGATGAAGAAGTTGCAAATAAAGTTATAGATTGCAAATATTAGGGCATGATGTCCTATATCTCTCTTCCTAACTAATTTGGGCATACAACTATAATTCTAACCAAAACTTTGCTTTAACAAATTAAAACTTGGACAATCATCGTTATCCACCGTCCCTTTTAACCTAGCTGATTTTCTTGATCTATTAGGTCTCGACTTGCCTTTCATGAAGTCTACTTTACTCGTCAAGCCTAACCTAATCTGTCTGCCTTATAAGATTATCTAAATTTATAAATTAAAAGTGAAAGCTACTAGATGAAAGCTACCTGTGAATAAATAACATGTGTATAGTATGAGGTAGTTGAGTGGAAATGTGGAATGTTAACATGGTTAAATGAATGTGTACTAAATAAATACTTTTGAATATTTAAGTACCGAATGCATGCATGAATGTATTATAAGATTTGAAGTAAAGAAATTTGGAATAACATTTTAATTAGAAATTTGTAGCAAGTAAAATATATCAAGGCCGGGCCGGCAGCGTGATGGTGATGAGTATCAAATTAATTAGCTTGAAATATTTTTCAAAAAAAAAAAAATTAGCTTGAAATATGAGGAAGAAGTTGCAAATAAAGCAATAGATTGTTATGAGTGTGATTACTACTGCTAGAATATGATAGAGGAGTCCACACGGGCTTAGCTTATTGGTTCAGTAGGTAGTATTATATTTGGAAATTGAAGAAAGATCAATTCAAATATCGACAGTGACAGTGTGAAGATTATGTTTAAAGTGGGTAGATCCCTTATGCGCATCAGCATTTAACCTCTTTGGACAGATCTCTTGTGTGCACCGACCTCGTCTACTGAGCTATTAGGGATTTAACCTTTTGGGGAAGAAGAATCTGTTCCAAGTCTAGCCCAACTTGTCATCTTCAAACCCACGGTCACTTATCGGATTAATTAGCTTGTGCATTTGACCCAATATATTAGAATACCAAACTTATAAATTGGAAGACTGAAAGTTACTTATGTATAAATAACATGTGTATAATATAAGGTGAAGTGGAATGTTAAAATGGTTAAATGAATGTGTACTAGCTAAACTTAAAAATTATAAATTAATAATTAATAAATACGACACCGCGTCATAAGTTAAATAACATGCATCTTCTTATAGTAAAATACTTGAAACTAAAGAATTGGTTTAAATATAATCTTTAATATTTAGCGATTGTGATGAATATATATAATAAATAAGTTAATTAATGGATTATTATTGAGTGTATTGTATTATTTAATTTGTAGACCTCATAAGTACATAACACCACTGTTGCAAAAATCGGTCTAGGTGCCCGCCTAGGCGCTAGGCGCCCCTAGACCGTGGAGAATTCCCCCCTAGGCGACCGGCCGCCTAGGCGTCCGCCTAGCGCCTAACTCGGCCGACTTGACTGCCTAGCGTCTAACTTAGCCAAACTAACTCGTCCATTTTGATCGAGTTAACCCGATCAGCTCGGCCTTGCTAATATTTTTTCATTATATATATATATATATATATATATATATATATATATATATATATATATATATATATATATAGATTAGTTTGATACTTTGAATTTTTTGATGATTGAAGTATTTGAGTATTCATATTTGAGTATTTTTAAATTTTAATATTGTTTTGATGTTATGACTTATGAATTATCATTATTCCATTTATTTGGATGTGTTATTTGATTGAGTGTTGAAATCAGCCTCATTAAAATTGTCAAACTGCAAGTCTATCACTGTTTTTTTTGCGCCCGACTAACGCCGCCTAGATTCCGCCTAGGTGCTGCCCAGGCGCCCGACTAGCGCCTACTGCAACCATGCATAACACATAATATAAAGTTAGTCATTACCCATTGATAAGACAGAATTCTATGGACGGTTTAATGGTTATGGATTGAAGCCCATTTCTGTATTTCACACAACTTAAAAGGTTTTCACAAATTTATATTTTATACTCTGTCAAAATAATAAGTTTGTTACTTGTTGCTTAACTGGTTTGTTGCTTAACTGGTTTTCTGTTCAACATATTAGCCTAGCCTTTAAGGGCTTTTTTGTAATTTCCTTTTCCTTTCATTCTGTTAATTCTGTTACATGGCTGCCAGCATATATAATGATGCTGCTGCTTCCTATCTCTCTCTGTAACTTCTTCTTCTTCTACTTGCTTCAATAATGAATAAACAACTTTTCCCCCTTTCAATTCCCTCACTAAAACAGCCTATCAAGCTCTAAGCATTCTATCATGGTATCAGAGCGGCATACATACGCTGCTGCAGTCACAATGAACAATCAAGCCGCCGGCGAAGGAAGCTCTGCCGGACAGACGGCAAATCAGAATCAGATCCAGCGGAATGATGAATTTGATGATCCGCTATACCTACATATCACTGAAAATCCGAATCTAGTGTTAGTTTCACCGGCCTTATCCGAGCACAATTATGCTTCGTGGAGTAGATCAATGAAGATGGCTCTAGAAGTGAAAAACAAGTTCGGATTTGCCAGTGGATCTATCCCTAAAGCAGTTGAAAATGATCCAAAGTTTGGAGTATGGAAGAGATGTAACAATGTTGTGTGTTCGTGGCTCTTGAAATCTCTCAATTCAACAATCGCCGAAAGTGTTCTCTATTATGAGTTAGCAGCAGACATTTGGAAGATCCTCGAGAAGAGATACTCACAGGCAGATCCGCATAGGATTGCAGAGCTACAGAATGAGATCTTCCGGAATGTGCAAGGTAACATGACCATTAATGAGTATTTTACTAAGAGTCATGCGTTATGGGAGAGAATGAATGCTATGAGACCTATAACACTGTGTGAGTGTCTTCCTAGGTGTTCCTGTACTCTCCTAAGCAAGATACAAAAAGAAAGAGTTGATGATCAAGTAATTAGGTTCTTGGAAGGACTCAGTGATGATTATGAATCTGTTAAGTCCAATGTGCTTGTGATGGATCCTATTCCAGAGATGGAAAAGGTTCTTAATATGACCTTGAAAATGGAGAGAAAAATCAATGGTTCCATTAGTCAGAGAAGCAGTGACCTAGTTCAGTCCAATGTTATTCAGAATAGTCAAAACCAACCTACAGATGAACATAGTAGTGTGGCAGTTTCAGCTTCTAATACAAAGAAGAAATTCAATGGTAATGGGGGGAAGAATGTTCCTAAATGCACATACTGTGGGATGATTGGCCATACCATTGAAAAATGTTATAAGAAGCATGGTTATCCCCCTGGTTGGGTGCATGGTTACAAATCTAAAAACAGACAGGTTCAGGAAGTTCAACAGGCTGTGAGTCCTTCTATAAACCAAGTTGGTGATATAGGGATATCAGCTGATCAACTTCAAAGGTTGTTGTCCTTGTTGCAAGGACAAAGTCAAGGAAATCAAGCATCCCAAGCATCCTCTAATGCTGCTGTGACAGTGAGCAGCTCTGGAATAAAGCCTGCATTCAGGAAAACCTCTGAGAACTCCAGTGAAGGTAGTTATATTTCCAATCTGCATGTTAACAATGTTTTGACTTCACCATCTGTTTGGATATTGGATTCAGGGGCAACAGACCATATTACCTGTTCCCTAGAGTTTTTTGAAAGACATCAAACCATACATGGAGTGTTTGTGAGATTGCCTAATGGAGAAACAGCTAAAGTAACTCACATAGGGGAAGTCAGACTGGATAAAAACCTGCTATTAAGAGATGTCTTATATATTCCTGCTTTTTCATTCAATATTATATCTGTTAACAAGTTGGCTAAACAGATGTCTTGCAAAATTATTATGAATGGTGATTCATGCAATGTCCAGGGTCCTCATGGGACAGTGGTTGGTTTTGCTAAGGAGAAAGATGGACTATACCTGGTTACAGAACCACCTGTCAGAGGAAAGAAACATTATGCTGATGAAACTTGTGATGCTCAGTGTAATAGGTTGTCCTTAATGCAATGGCATAATAGACTAGGGCATTATCCCATAAATAAGATACATCTTTTGAAAGGAATAAAGCATGGATATTCTGTTAAGCCTTCTGATTTTCCTTGTGATGTATGTCATTTTGCCAAACACAAGAAATCAACATTTCCTGTCAGTTTTTCTAGAGCTGAAAGATGTTTTTATTTAGCTCACATGGATGTTTGGGGCCCCTTTGCTATTGCTTCCTTAAAGGGAGAATACTACTTCTTAACTATTGTTGATGACCATAGTAGGTTTACTTGGTTGCATCTAATGAAAAATAAATTAGAAGTCAAGTTGCTATTTCAGAATTTCTGTCAGTATGTCCACACTCAATTCTCTGCAAGCATTAAGACTGTAAGAACAGATAATGGGACTGAATTTCTCATGTCTAATTTTTCTAATGAGAAGGGAATTATACATCAAAAGTCATGTGTATATACACCTCAACAGAATGGGATTGCAGAAAGGAAACATCAACATCTTCTAAATGTAGCCAGAGCTCTTAGATTCCAATCTGGTTTGCCTATGGAGTTTTGGGGACATTGTGTCTTACATGCTTGTTATACCATTAACAAACTCCCTTCTCCTATTTTGGATGGTAATACCCCTTTTGGAATACTGTTTGGCAAGCAGGTGATATATGATCAATTCAGAACTTTTGGTTGTTTATGTTATGGTGCCACTATTGCACAAGGAAGGAACAAAATGCAACAAAGAGCCAGAAAGTGCGTTTTTTTAGGAATCCCTGCCAATGTGAAAGGTTATCTATTGTATGATATCATTGACAGGGATTTCTTTGTCTCTAGGGATGTCCATTTCTATGAACAGAACTTCCCCTTCAAAGAAGATGTTGCACAGATCAGCTCAGAACCACTTGAAGCTGAGGAACTTGATCCTTCTCCCCTTTTGTTCTAGGATATAAATGATACAAGAATCTCTGGACCAGGGACATTGAGTGAATTGGATACCTGAGGTACCTGAAGGCAATCTCACACATAACGCAGTACATGATGCAGTTTTAGAAGAAAGCAGTTCACCTCAAAACTATGAATCAACTTGTGAACCTGTTCATAGAACAGATGATGATATGACATCAGAATCAGACAGGTATGAAGTAAATAATGCTCAACCATCATTGAGAATATCAGAAAGGCCTAAAAGTATTCCCACAAAGTTGCTGGACTATTACTGCCACTCAATGGTCAGCAATGACATGCAGGTTAAAACTTCTCCACACTCCGTTACAAAATTCATATCTTATGAGCATTTGTCTCCATCTCAAAGGCTCTGTGCATCCTCCATTTCTGTTGAGCATAAGCCACAATCCTATAATGAAGCAGTGCAACATGAGTCTTGGAGAAAGGCCATGCAATCTGAAATACAAGCACTTGTTGAGAACAAGACTTGGATACTAACAGAACTCCCAAAAGGAAAATCTCCCATTGGATGTAGGTGGGTCTATAGGATCAAACACAAGGCTGATGGGTCCATAGAAAGGCATAAGGCAAAGCTTGTTGCTAAGGGTTATACTCAGCAGCTAGGGGTGGATTATGTTGAGACTTTTTCTCCTGTAGCTAGGATGACTACCATCAGGACTTTTCTGGCAGTGGCTATTGTAAGAGGTTGGGATATTCAGCAATTAGACATCAATCATGCATTCCTACATGGTGATTTGGAAGAAGAAGTTTATATGACTTTACCCCCAGGTTTTCAAAGTGAGAATCCTAAACAAGTTTGCAGACTAATGAGATCTCTCTATGACCTAAAACAGGCTAGCAGGCAATGGAATGCAAAATTGACAAAGGCATTACTTGATAATGATTTCCAACAGTCCACAGCTGACTCCTCATTGTTCACTAAGGCATCAGGGAACTCATTTACTGTTCTCTTAGTCTATGTGGATGATATTCTTGTTGCAGGCACACACCCTCACCTGATTGATGAGTTAAAACTCTTTCTAGACAAGGCTTTCAAGATTAAAGACCTTGGACAGTTGAATTATTTCCTTGGAATAGAAGCTTTCAGATCCCCTAATGGCCTCAATCTATGTCAAAGAAAGTACACCCTAGATATCTTGAAAGAATATGGTTTTCTGGAAGCTAAACCTGCATACACTCCCTTCACTGCAGGACAGAAACTCACCAATACTGAAGGAACACAACTTGATAACCCTGAAGTCTACAAAAGATTAATAGGAAAGCTATTGTATCTCACAAATACTAGGCCAAATATCACTTATGCTGTTCAACAGCTAAGTCAGTTTGTTGATCAGCCTAGAGACATTCATCTTGTTGCAGCTCACAGAGTATTAAGATATTTGAAAGGGGATCCTGGCAAAGCCTTGTTTTATCCAGCCAAGTCTCACCTCAAGCTCTATGGCTTTTCAGATTCAGACTGAGCTACTTGTCCAGAGACAAGGAAATCCATCACTGGTTTCTGCATTTACTTAGGGGAATCATTGGTTTCTTGGAAAACAAAGAAGCAAGCCACTGTTTCTAGATCATCTTCAGAGGCAGAATACAGGGTTTTGGCTTCTTCTGTGTGTGAAATTCAATGGCTCTTATATTTGATGGCAGATTTGAAAGTGCATCCTGACAGTCCAAGTGTATTGTTTTGTGATAATCAATCTGCTATAGCTATTGGAGAGAATCATGTGTTTCATGAACGAACTAAGCACATTGAGATTGATTGTCATGTGGTCAAGCAAAAGGTTAATGAAGGTGTTGTAAAACTGCTTTCCATTTCATTCAAGGGACAAACTGCAGATGGCTTTACCAAGGCCTTACCTAAGCCATGTTTTGATATTTTCCACTCTAAGCTGGGCCTTCAAGACATTCATGCTCCAGCTTAGGGGGGGGGGTGTCAAAATAATAAGTTTGTTACTTGTTGCTTAACTGGTTGTCTGTTTAACATATTAGCCTAGCCTTTAAGGGCTTTTTTGTAATTTCCTTTTCCTTTCATTCTGTTAATTCTGTTACATGGCTGCCAGCATATATAATGCTGCTGCTGCTTCCTATCTCTCTCTGTAACTTCTTCTTCTGCTTGCTTCAATAATGAATAAACAACTTTTCTCCCTTTCAATTCCCTCACTAAAACAGCCTATCAAGCTCTAAGCATTCTATCATACTCACACATCAGACTTTATAGAGTTTGAGTTTTATCCTTTTTTCTAAATAAATATATTTTTAAGTTTGATAGTGTCATCGTATTTATGAGATTTTAGTTTCAAGTCTTGATAATGTTAAAATCGATAATATATTATGTTAAATATGTTCGAAATTAACATTAATTAACTAGTAATATTGGTACATATAGTTAGGATGAATTTGAAGTGTAGGCAATCCTTTGAGGCCATTCAAATGGCATTAGGAATGGGCTTTCGTTGTGTTATTTATAGTATGATTTTGAGACAATGGTAGTGAATTGGGTTACAGGGGTGACGTATAGTATCTTGAGGTCCAGTGAGAAATCTCTGAATTATTAGAATCATGTAAATGAGATATAGGTTATCAGTGAGAAATTTAAGTGACACATATATATAGGACCAGACGCAGATTGTATGTCACACAATCTGTGTCTGATGTTACCTAAGACACAAATTGTTTAACCAATTTGTGTCTGAAGTATTTTAGATGTAAATAATCCTTTACTTCAAATACAGATAATTCATTTTGTACTAATGCTTCTCTTTAACATGTTTGGAGTATTCGAGTGCTCGAGTTATCTTTTATGAAGTTGTAAGTTTGTAGCAATTGTGGACTAAAGATAGTCTATGTATTTCTCGTTTGAGGAGAGTCATTAATAATAATTTTTTTTTTTTTGGGGGGGTTCTCTTCTAGTCTTCTACCGGTAAAAAAATAAAATAAAATAAAAAATAAAAAAATAAACATTACCTATGACTACATTTCTTATTTGTATAATTAACATTCATCATATTTGTTAACATGTCCACTACATTCAACCTATACGGAGTACTAATTAAAAACTCCTTGAATTAATAACACAGTGAAATTAAGTTCACTCGGCCTATGCAGAGTAACCACAAGAGAGATAAACAATACTAAAAAGGATAATAATTAAACTTATAATTTTTAGAGAAAATTGTAATTTTCGTCCCTAATTTATAAGTTAATTGTAGAATTCGTCCATAAGTGTTGGACATATTTATTTTTTTGTCTCTAAGCTAAGTTATCATTGACGTTGCACTTTTTGTCCATTTACTAATAAAATATTAGGGACGAAATGTGCAATTTTAGTATAACTCAGGGACAAAAAGTGAGCATGAAAGGACGAAAGGTGCAACGCTAATGTTAACTTAAGGACGAAAAATGAGCATGACAAACACTCAGGGACGAATTCTACAGTCACCTTATAACTTAGAGACGAAAAGTGTTATCTTCTATAGTTTTTAAATACATATATTATGTTCCACCCAGCCTACTCACTTACTTCTTTCGAGGACAGATATTTAAAACTTGATTAGATTAATCTTATTTTACAAAATGTGGATTTATTGTTCGGTACTTGAAAATAAATGAAGAAAAGTGGTCAAAATACCTACGAGATCCCCGTACTATAGTGTTTTGTTCAATTTAGTCTATGCACTTTAAAAGTGGTGTGGTTAAAGACAATAGTTAACGGTGTTAATATTAGTGTTAACTTAGGTTACATGGCGCTGACATCATCATTGTCACATCATGATATTTATATTCCTACTCATATATTACTTTATAAATATTTAAAATTAATTATTTTTTACCACCAATAAGGCAATATATTAAATTAGTATGTCCAAAATAAATTAGTATGTCATAGCAATGATATCAGCGCCGCATAAGCTAAATTAACGGTAATATTAACACCGTTAACTATTGTTCTTAATTATATCCATGGTTGCAGTAGGCGCTAGGCTCCCAGGCAGCGCCTAGGCGGAATCTAGGCAGCGTTAGGCGGGAGCAAAAAAAAACAGTGGTAAACTTACAGTTTGACAATTTTAATGAGGATGTTTTCAACATTAAATCAAATAACACATCCAAATAAATGAAATAATGATAATTTACAAGTCATTACATCAAAACAATATTAAAAAATTTAAAAAAATACGCAAATATGAAATACTCAAATACTTCAATCATCCAAAGATTCAAAGTATCAAACTAGTCTACGGGTATATATACGTCATATTATATATATGTATGGGTGTGTATCTATATATATATATATATATATATATATATATATATATATATATATATATATATCTACATCTACATCTAAATCTACATCTACATCTCTACAATTCTAATAAGTGCCAATAATGTTAGGCCCTTAACTGGAACAAAAAAATGTCGGTCCTATTGTTTCTTAAAATGAATGGTTCATATTATACTATTGTTTCTTAAAATGAATGGTTCATATTATACTATTGTTTCTTAAAATGAATGGTTCATATTATTTTTATTTTAGTATTTTTTATTGATTTTCCTTATTTACCCTCTATTATATTATTTTCTTCCCTTAAATAACTTAAATTCCGTTAGCATAAACTTTAGTAACGGAATATTCCGTTAAGTATTTATTATTTTAACTTACACATTAATTTCTATAAGAAAAGTCTTAGTTTTGAACCACATCTTAATTAGAGTTGGCATAATTGTTAAACATATACTACGAATATGTTAAAATATATTTAAAATATATATAATATAAAATTTAACATAAACTTTGTTCAAATAATTAGTTTGACTAAATACATAACATTCAAAGTTAAGCATCAAAAATTATAAATCAAGAACTTTAAAAATCATTTGATCAGAAAAAAACTTAATATTCTTTTGATTATTTAGATCAGAAAAAAACTTAATATTTCAATTATACTTTTGCATTAATATTTTTTGTATGTTTTTTAAAAAAAA